TAATCTATGCAGAAATAGAAGTACAATGATGTACACTTGAAATTTTTACAATGTTATAAACCAATGTTACTGCAATAAACAAAAAATTTTTAAAAAAAAAAAATAAATAAATAAATCTGTGATTGGGTAGAAATTAACTCTCAAAAAGAGGATAAACACATATTTCAAAGGTAACTTGGATGGTTTTAATGACATTATTAGCAAATTTTGTATTCCACAGGACATATAAATTCCTAGTAATGTGTCTTTTAAAATATGAAGGAAACAAAACTGATCTCTCCATGCATAAGTATATAACCACTATGGACAATAGGCTAACTCCAGAATGAGTTTTCTACTGTCTAACACAACACCCTCTCCCAATAAACATCAACTGATGGATGGTTTCACAGAGTTAAGAGAACAAAAATAGGCATAAGACTCAGGATGATTAGATTCAAGTAAGACACATCTTCACAGTGAACTAATGGCATAAGCTTGTGCAAATTCCTAAATTTCTCTGGGCATTACTTTTGTGAGCTATAAAAGGATAGGGTAGATAATTGCAAAGGGGTCATACTCGTCTAATATTCTCTAACTGAAATGGCCATGAGCTTTTAAATGTAAAGCAAACCCTATGAAAACGTAGAGAAATCTAGAATCTGTCTCAATGAATCTTTAAAAAGTATGACTTGTGGTCGTTAGAATCAGAAGCTTTCTCAATGTTGTGATTTGATGTAGCCTTAAACTGAGTCTCTTTCTAAAATATAACTCTGTCATATAACTTCATCTCACCTTTAGAGTTTAATTTCTTTCTACTTTAATGGATTTTGCTCAAGATTCCCCTTAAAAAGAAGATAACCTTTAAGACATATCATACTTTTTGTTTTTCATTAGCTAATATAATAACTTAGATTGGTTTATGGCCCAAACCTGCAGGTTAGTGATATTGAACCTGAAGTGAGTTCGCTCACATGTCATGCAGCAAGCCAATCTCTGACACTGGGTGTAGTGGAAGAAAGTAGGAATTTTATTGCAAAGCACTGAGCAAGGAGAACGGGTAGCTCATGTTGTAATCCCAAACTCCCCGAAAAGCTATAAGCAAGGGTTTTTAAAGGGGAGATCAAAGGAGAGAAGCCGTGGTGGTCGTGACCACAGTCATTTGGGGGAGCGATTGTGCAAGGGTCCAAGTAGACATTCTGGAGTTGAGTCTGTTGTTATCTTTATCCATTCCTTATGAGTACCTTCGACCAGGTGTCTTGGGTTCCACAAAACAAGCTTTCTGCGTCATCTCGGATCCTATGAGCCATTACACGAGGGGAGCTCTGGCTTTGCAGGTCGGCGCCCTCCCACCAGCCTGCATTTGGACTTGTGAGGCTGTTTGCAGAGAAAAGAATGGCAAGATAAGAGAATCCGCAGGTGGGTGTCCTTGGTTGTCTGCCTCCGTGGTGGAGGGTGGATTCTGGTGCCAGGAAGCCAAGGAGTTGGAGTCTGGCAAGCTTCAGCTTCTGGATATTCTCTGGATATCAGTTTCTCTGTAATAAACCTTCAAAGAACCCAGAACTAACCAAAATGTTAGCATGAGGCTACCTGGGCTCTAACAATTTGTAACTTCTATTTGCCTTGTGAACGTCTATTTACCTTAAAGAAGCAGCAACAGAAGCATGCCTTTGGTTTTATCCCCATGTATGCTGGGTTTAATAAAGGGGAACTGATACCAGGGCCAACATCAATAGGACATGAACAAAGCATGTTGGCTAGTCTTGCCTTTTAGGAAGGGAATCAGAGAAGGAAAGAACACTTCCTAGCTACTAATGCAAGTGGTTGGTGGACTAATGATATTACATTTCAAGGATCAATATGATTATGAGATGACTTGAATTGTAAGTATGAGAGGTACAAATAACTGAATTAGAAAGACTTTGTTCAAAAGGAAGAAAAAGCTAGAGAGTGAAGCTTGATAACATCGTCAAATATTAGAATGACTATCAGGGGATCGAGAGATTAAAACCTAAGTTCAAAACCAGCACAAGTGAATAGAAATTACATGAAGTAAATTACAATTAAGTATCAGCATAAACTTCCTAATATTTATAGTTGTGTAAAGACAGAATCATGTGTTTATAGGGGTAATAGGTTCTTAACCTTTGGAAATTTTAAATAGAGTTTGGACAGCCATTGTCAAAAAGTTTGTAGAAAAATGAGAATTTAGATTAGCATTTTGTAAAAACTATTCTACAAAACGTTAATTCCAAAGGATACTAATTGTTATCCATAAAGAAGAAAAAGATTCTATTGTCAAATAAGTATGGTAAATGCCATTTGTGTAAAGTTAATCATGCAACTTTAATGCACATCCTCTCCCAGTCTTTCGCATAATCACACATTATTCAAAACCTCAGTGTAAAAAGCACTTCAAATAGTCAGTGTGTATTGAAATAGTTGCCCATGGAATTCCATTCTCATGAATGATCACATGGCATAATGTTTTAGACAATATATTTTGAGAAGTGTAATCTATATCACAAATTAGACAAGATTTTATGTTCTTTCAGAATTTAATCTGATTCAAACTATTAATAGCCTCTATTGGAGTATGATGTGGTAATTATGATTTAAGTATGAAATACTTTTAAGTCATACCATTTTTTTCCCTAAATCACATCTCATAGATAAATGCCCAGCTTACCTTTACAAAAGATTGGTTGATTTCACATGTTTATAAAGTTAAATTTAGTGGCAATCTTTGTAAGGAAAGTAATGGCAATATTATAAATTTGCATTATACTTTTTTAAGAACTAAACATGAATTATACCGGTTAATTCTTACAATCAACACACAAGGAGGTACTGTTATTGTCGTTTTACAAATGAGAAAACTGAGTATCACCTAATTGAAATAACTTGTCCATGACCATAAATTTAAAAAAATACGTGGGGCTCAGTCTCTTTCAACTTCAGAATCTTTGTCCTAAAATTCCTACTACTTTCCTATGGTATCAAATATGCGTGGTGTTTCTTCAGCAAGGTTTCAAGCAAAAATCTTTAAAAATAGAATAGATAACAAGTGATCTTAATAATTCAGCTACTTTCTTAAGTGAAAACACTGGGGTAGATAAATTATCCTTGGAATTTCTTTCTGGCTTTGTGATAGTAGAGATAAATGAGAAATAATTCCCATACAATAAAGGAATTTGCACGCCGTTATTAGATAAAAAGATCTCACAGTTACTTGTTATAGACTTCTGTGAAAAACAAGATAGGTTTTTATCAATCTGAAACTGCTCAGTGGAAATACTCATTGCTTAACATAGAAGAATGAACAAAAATTGCCTCTAAGCTTCCTTCATTGATGTGAACATAGGAGCCAAATTTTAACTACTTTTCCTGGAAAAGATACATATGATGAACATTAAAGGAAAAGACACATGGTCTTTTCCAAAGTCTAACAATTTTCTTTAAGCCGGTAGCACTGCCAATTTGCTAGGAAACATAAAGAATTTTAAGAAAATTAAGGTTTAAATTCAAGGCTGTGAGGAAAAGTCTAGCATTTCCATACATATCCCAAGATGACTTTAAATTCCTTGGATTGAGTATTTTAATTTTTTGAAATTGCCAACAGTTTGTTAGGAGATAACCTAAATAAGTAGCTATTGAAAAAAAAAAAAAAGATTGTATTTTCCCATTCATTGACATTGTGGAACACTAAATCTACATTCATTATGGATCCACAAGATATGTAGTTTTAGTTATTTTTTTTCCTATTGTGGAAAAACAGTAGAAACTATGAAATATCAGCAGAAAAATTCTATCCTCAACAGAATGAAGCACTAATAAATCAGAGATAAACAGTTTAGACTTAATCTTGTCTACTTTTTTAGACTTTTGCTGTTTTGATGCTAATTATATAATGTAAATCTTATTCTGGATCTAATAATAGATTAATAGAGCTTTTGGGACGTATTAGATCAACTTAAGCTGTCTTTTTCAGAAAAAATACACTGATTCTTAATGCTTACATAGTCAGAATCCGTAAGCAAGAAGACCAACAAAATCGTCTATCAGTGGCTATTTAATTTTCTGTGATTTTCATTTATTTTATTGGGGAGTAGTTTGTATTGACTGATAAATCAGACTTCTAGGCACTGTGAAGCTCAGAGTATTTGGTTTGTCTAAGACCTCCTGGTAAAACACTCATGACTGAGGCATTGAAACCTATTACGTTACTTCTTTCTACTGCCTTAGTTGTGGAGCTATTCTGAGGGCATGTCATATGCTTTCTGAACATTCCCAAGTGAAAGCTGCCTAGTTAATCAGGGGTAGACCTCTGAAATACTGTTTTTTGTCTGCTTGTACTTTTCTTGATTACTCCTTTTTGCGTCTCAGAAATAGAACAAACAAATTGGAAGAGTAGATAAAAACTATAGGGAAAAAAATCCTATCACTCCTCCCTAATGTATGTATATGGAGAATATTTAATCTTTCCATAATTTTTTAAACTTATAAAAAAATTAACTAGGCAATTGTATTACTGATAACTCAGATAACTTCTCTCATCCTACTTTATCTACATTCAGTAAGAACTAAACACTTTCTTTTCCAAAATCTACAATTTGGAGAAATTTGTTCATTAAAAGATGAATATTTTTTCATATTTGACACATATTTGAATAAAAAACTTTAGTGTTTTCCTTATAAAAATTATCCATTGGTAATGTATATTCTATAAATCAATGACTTAAGGATTATGGATAGTGATAATAATATCTTGATGGAAAAAGAATCAGATTTTCTCCAAGCTAAAATTAAAAACACACTGTTGACAGAAAATCTAAAGAAAATGCAGTCTAGCCAAATTTTACACCATCTGGAGGGTACAATCACTCTCTAAATATTTAGAATGATACAGTAGATTCCAGTTGCTGGACACATGTCAGCAGTGACAGGGTACAGCTGATAATAGATGAGTCTGTTTCTACTCAGTTCTTTAGCATGTTATGTGGAGGCCATTTAATGTTTGAAATAACATCTCTTGTTTCTTCCCTCTTCCTGCCTTTGCTTCCTTCCTTCCTTTCTTCCTTCTCTCTTTCAGTGACGATTGCTATTTTATCGCTAGGCCCTATGCTGAGACATGGGATATGGCAGGCAATGCAATAATTGTGGCCCTTTACTTCATATTGATTAGAATCTAAGGGAGAGACAGAAGACAATCAAAATTGTATACAAATAAATATAAATATAAAATTTTATATATTATATATTATGACAAATACAATGAAGTCAATGGGCGAAGATTTTGAAATAGATTAACAGGATAGGAAATGTAGCTACAGCATTAGATTGAATAGTTAAAGAAGGCTTCTCTAAGAAAGTAGTACTTAAACTAACACTTGAACAATGAAGAAAAGACACTCATTAAAAAGAATAAGTGTCTTTTATGGGAGAAAATGATTCACACAGGAGACTTATAAACAGAGCCAGACTATGATATGTGAAAGGTAGGCTACGTAGATAGATGGTTTTGAGTAAGTCAAAGAGTGAGTCGGCTTAAAGTTGGAGAAATAAGCACAGTCTATATCAGACAGGTCTTGCAATCTACGTTAAGGAGTTTGAATTGTCTAAATGCAGTGGAGAAACATCAAAAACGCTAAGCAAATGTGTTATAAGATCTATTTTATATGTCTAAAAATCTTTCTGTTATTTGTATGGAAATATAGCAAGAGTGAAAGGGGAGATAAATTAGCGCTCTATGAAATTTACACAGGTTAGCGTTGGTGGTGGTGAGATCTAGTGCACCAGAGACATAGGAAACTGGAAGGAATGTAAGTTTGATTTTGGATGTAATTTGGCAGAACTAAGGATGATATGGGGGTTCTTTGAGAGTAGGAGTAGAATCCAGTGTAATTCCTGTTTTTGACTTGAATGACTCAGCAAATAGTAATACCATTCACTGAAATGTGGATGCCTGGTGGTTTTTTCAGGAGGGAGGAGGAGTTGAGAGGGGAAAATTGGGAGTCTGATATTGGGCATATTCAATTTTAAAGTAGTGTTTTGTTTGTTTATTTTGTCCATACATTAAAAGAAGGACCTGCATTAATGATATACATTTGAATAGAATATAATCTTGGGAAGAGAATAGATCATTCTGTTAGTTTCCTAGGGCTGCCGTAACAAAGTACAACAAACTGGTTGACTTGAAACAACAGAAATTTATTCTCTCATGGTTCTGGAAGTTTGAAGAAATAAATCAAGGTCTCTGCAGGGCCATGCTCCCTCTGAAGACTCTAGGGGAGGATCTTTGCTTTTCTCTTCCAGCTTCTGGTAGCACAAGCATTACCGCACCAGGTCCGTTTTTGCCCGCTGCCCAGAAAGCCAATCACCAAAACCACGAGATTGAAGAGAGGGAGGGTTTAATCACAAGACAACCAAGTGAGGAAAACGGGAGAATAAGTCTCAAATCTGCCTCCCTGAAAATAGGGACTCAGGGGTATTTATGGGGAAAGGGGCAAGGTGGTCTGAAATGATTGGAGGTGAGGAGAGATAAGGTAATTGATGATCTGTGCAAGCCTAGTCAGGCTTCCTGTTTCTTCTAAGGACACATGTTCACAGAATGGTAGTATTAGCATGCCCTGAGGGTGGAGTTGCACCTCTTGCTGTCAAAAGGGCCCAGTTGATGGGTTGGTGGTCTCAGTCCCACCTGAAGTGGACAAGGGGCTTAGTTCCTGAAAAAATAGTTCAAACACCCATTACCATAGCAACCCAGGCTCCAAGGAGATGTCATCTATAGGAACCTAGTGGGAGTCAGATAGCATATTGTCCAAACAGCACAGTTAACAATGAGTCAGTTTATCATGCAGATTTAAGTCCTTGCCTTCCATTCTGATAAGTTTCTAGGTAAGGCCATCCCCCCTTCTTCCTGCTGCAGGGAAGATACCTTTACAAATGGAGATTTTTTTTACAAATGTAAATGTCTCTCACAAAGGGTAACTAGAACTAAGAATGGGTTTAGCACGACCCACCCAGGTACCCAGAGATGTCTATAGTAGTGGCCTTTTCTGCAGGCAGGCATCCCATCCCAAACTCCTTGGGTCAGTTAGTGGGGGTGGGGGTCAAAATGTCATTCAGGCCGAGACATATTTTGAGTTCGCAAATTCCAATCCCCCATAGTTACTAGCTGTTTAATCATCAATGGCTGTTTGCCGGTTTCACAAGGTGTTCCTTGGTTTGTGGCAGCAAAACTACTATCTAGGCCCCCCTCTTCACTTGGCCATCTTCCTGTGTGTCTCTGTGTCTTCACATGATGCTTCTGCTTTTTGTGTCTATCTCTCCCTTCTTGTAAGGATACCAGTTGTGTTGGATTGAAGTCATACTGGAGTATGACTTCATCTTAACTAATTACATCTGCAATGACACTATTTCCAAATAAGGTTGCTTGCTGAGGTATTGGGGGTCAGAATTCCAACATATCTTTTTATATAACACAATTCAACCCATAACTATCACCTATCAAGAGAGTGTAGAAAAAGAAGAAGAAACAAGCTTAGCAATGAATATTTGAGGAATTTCAGCACGTAGATTTCTCATGGTGAAGACACTGATGGAAGTTCTGGAGAGTTAGCTAGGAGGGAGTCAGGAGTGTATTTCCACCACATCAAGTAGAGAGAATCTTGAAGGCGGGAGTGGTAACAGTGTTCAATTCTATTGTGAGGAGTAAGATGGAGTAAGAAATAGCTAGGGTCATCAATGAACAATAGAATTGCTGATGTTTTTAATGATAATCCTTGTCATTAATAAAATATTAAATTATGTCAAGTCAACATTAACAAAGCAAGATAAAGTGTAATGTCTTTTAGAAGAATTTACATAGAAGTTATTACTTCTATGTAAATTTATTTACTTCCATAGTGATCTGAAAGGAAAGAGAGTTCCTCTATTCCATCATACACATAGAGAACATGCATAGAGAACATAGGGCTAATTAGCCACAGAATCCTTTTAATCTTAGAAACTAGCTGTTATTTATCATTGAGTTTTTGGAGAACATCAA